TTCAGAGGTGAGCAGTTGGAGAAGAAAGTGGCAGTGACACATCGTATCTCATTCCCGATCATAGGATTATTTGCACCGACCCACATCGTCAACTGTTTTCAACGTTATCTCTATGCATAAGTTCTTGAGTTCACTCCGCATTTTCTAGGATAGTGGGAAGGTTTATGTTCCATGCGTTCAGAGGTGAGCAGTTGGAGAAGAAAGCTAGGCAGTGACACATCGTATCTCATTCCCGATCATAGGATTATTTGCACCGACCCACATCGTCAACTGTTTTCAAAGTTATCTCTCTGCATAAGTTTTTGAATTCATCCGCATTTTCTAGGATAGTGGAAGGTTTATGTTCCATGCGTTCAGAGGTGAGCAGTTGGAGAAGAAAGCTGGCAGTGACACATCGTATCATCATCATTTCATATCATAGGATTATTTGCACCGACCCACATCGTCAACTGTTTTCAACGTTATCTCTATGCACAAGTTCTTGAGTTTTCACTCCGCATTTTCTAGGATAGTGGAAGGTTTATGTTCCATGCGTTTCAGAGGGTGAGCAGTTGGAGAAGAAAGCTGGCAGTGACACATCGTATCTCATTCCCGATCATAGGATTATTTGCACCGACCCACATCGTCAACTGTTTTCAAAGTTATCTCTATGCATAAGTTTTTGAGTTCACTCCGCATTTTTCTAGGATAGTGGAAGGTTTATGTTCCATGCGTTCAGAGGTGAGCAGTTGGAGAAGAAAGCTGGCAGTGACACATCGTATCTCATTCCCGATCATAGGATTATTTGCACCGACCCACATCGTCAACTGTTTTCAACGTTATCTCTATGCATAAGTTCTTGAGTTCACTCCGCATTTTCTAGGATAGTGGAAGGTTTATGTTCCATGCGTTCAGAGGTGAGCAGTTGGAGAAGAAAGCTGGGCAGTGACACATCGTATCTTCATTCCCGATCATAGGATTATTTGCACCGACCCACATCGTCAACTGTTTTCAACGTTATCTCTATGCACAAGTTCTTTGAGTTTACTCCGCATTTTTCTAGGATAGTGGAAGGTTTATGTTCCATGCGTTCAGAGGTGAGCAGTTGGAGAAGAAAGCTAGGCAGTGACACATCGTATCTCATTCCCGATCATAGGATTATTTGCACCGACCCACATCGTCAACTGTTTTCAAAGTTATCTCTCTGCATAAGTTCTTGAATTCAATCCGCATTTTCTAGGATAGTGGAAGGTTTATGTTCCATGCGTTCAGAGGTGAGCAGTTGGAGAAGAAAGCTGGCAGTGACACATCGTATCTCATTCCCGATCATAGGATTATTTGCACCGACCCACATCGTCAACTGTTTTCAAAGTTATCTCTCTGCATAAGTTCTTGAATTCAATCCGCATTTTCTAGCATAGTGGAAGGTTTATGTTCCATGCATTCAGATGTGAGCAGTTGGAGAAGAAAGCTGGCAGTGACACATCGTATCTCATTCCCGATCATAGGATTATTTGCACCGACCCACATCGTCAACTGTTTTCAACGTTATCTCTATGCACAAGTTCTTGAGTTCACTCCGAATTTTCTAGGATAGTGGAAGGTTTATGTTCCATGCGTTCAGAGGTGAGCAGTTGGAGAAGAAAGTAGGCAGTGACACATCGTATCTCATTCCCGATCATAGGATTATTTGCACCGACCCACATCGTCAACTGTTTTCAACGTTATCTCTATGCCCAAGTTCTTGAGTTCACTCCGCATTTTCTAGGATAGTGGAAGGTTTATGTTCCATGCGTTGAGACGTGAGCAGTTGGAGAAGAAAGTAGGCAGTGACACATCGTATCTCATTCCCGATCATAGGATTATTTGCACCGACCCACATCGTCAACTGTTTTCAAAGTTATCTCTCTGCATAAGTTTTTGAATTCAATCCGCATTTTCTAGGATAGTGGAAGGTTTATGTTCCCTGCGTTCAGAGGTGAGCAGTTGGAGAAGAAAGCTGGCAGTGACACATCGTATTTCATTCCCGATCATAGGATTATTTGCACCGACCCACATCGTCAACTGTTTTCAACAAACGTTATCTCTATGCACAAGTTCTTGAGTTTACTCCGCATTTTCTAGGATAGTGGAAGGTTTATGTTCCATGCGTTCAGAGGTGAGCAGTTGGAGAAGAAAGCTGCAGTGACACATCGTATCTCATTCCCGATCATAGGATTATTTGCACCGACCCACATCGTCAACTGTTTTCAAAGTTATCTCTGTGCATAAGTTTTTGAATTCATTCCGCATTTTCTAGGATAGTGGAAGATTTATGTTCCATGCGTTCAGAGGTGAGCAGTTGGAGAAGAAAGCTGGCAGTGACACATCGTATCTCATTCCCGATCATAGGATTATTTGCACCGACCCACATCGTCAACTGTTTTAACGTTATCTCTATGCCCAAGTTCTTGAGTTCACTCCGCATTTTCTAGGATAGTGGAAGGTTTATGTTCCATGCGTTGAGACGTGAGCAGTTGGAGAAGAAAGCTGGCAGTGACACATTGTATTTCATTCCCGATCATAGGATTATTTGCACCGACCCACATCGTCAACTGTTTTCAAAGTTATCTCTCTGCATAAGTTCTTGAATTCAATCCGCATTATCTAGGATAGTGGAAGGTTTATGTTCAATGCGTTCAGAGGTGAGCAGTTGGAGAAGAAAGCTGGCAGTGACACATTGTATTTCATTCCCGATCATAGGATTATTTGCACCGACCCACATCGTCAACTGTTTTCAAAGTTATCTCTCTGCATAAGTTCTTGAATTCAATCCGCATTTTCTAGCATAGTGGAAGGTTTATGTTCCATGCGTTCAGAGGTGAGCAGTTGGATAAGAAAGCTGGCAGTGACACATCGTATCTCATTCCCGATCATAGGATTATTTGCACCGACCCACATCGTCAACTGTTTTCAAAGTTATCTCTCTGCATAAGTTCTTGAATTCAATCCGCATTTTCTAGCATAGTGGAAGGTTTATGTTCCATGCATTCAGAGGTGAGCAGTTGGAGAAGAAAGCTTGGCAGTGACACATCGTATCTCATTCCCGATCATAGGATTATTTGCACCGACCCACATCGTCAACTGTTTTCAACGTTATCTCTATGCACAAGTTCTTGAGTTCACTCCGAATTTCTAGGATAGTGGAAGGTTTATGTTTCCATGCATTCAGAGGTGAGCAGTTGGAGAAGAAAGTAGGCATGACACATCGTATCATTCCCGATCGTAGGATTATTTGCACCGACCCACATCGTCAACTGTTTCACCGTTATCTCTATGCACAGTTCTTGAGTTCACTCCGAATTTTTAGGATAGTGGAAGGTTATGTTCCATGCATTCAGAGTGAGCAGTTGGAGAAGAAGTAGGCAGTGACACATCGTATCTCATTCCCGATCATAGGATTATTTGCACCGACCCACATCGTCAACTGTTTTCAAAGTTATTTCGATGGACAAGTTCTTGAATTCATTCCTCCACATTTTCTAGTATAGTGAAAATTTTTGAAATCGCTTGTTGTCTCCAGAGGACGTTCTTCCACTATCGAAGTACTTGGGCTACTGGAAACTTCGCATGCAACTGATGCAACTGATGATTCTCAGGGTAAATTTGTCGATCTGTGCTAATTGTCTCTGAAACCGATTTAGCTTGTTTTATACAAAATTTTATATTGAGTTGTTCTTCTACAGCCAGATTACAACATAAGCCTCGATGGTAATACAGCGATGCCGTTTCTCAAAATCAAGATTGAAGGTGATAGTTGCGAGTGGAGCTTGCCATTTGTCAGCGCGCTACAGAACCAGGCCGTGAACGTTTTGATACACATTTGCAAGACCGTAATGTCTGAAGGAAACTTTTACTAGCATATTTTTAAGTTACGCACACCTGCTCAACAGGAGTGCCGTCCAGGAAAAGAAGGATGAGGAAGAGTTTCAATAACGTGATTTTACTAGTTGATTTAGAGAGAGGTGTGGTGATATTAATATTGCTATGTTCTATGTAATACTTATTGAATAATTTCTTATTTTGCTCTTTATCTATGACAAATTTAAGAGAGAGACTAATATATTTATTAAACATCGATTTAAACTGATATATTTATCAGATATATCAGTAATCGAACACATGTGCTTATATTCAAAATCGCAAATGCTAAAAGAAAACAGTAAAACAGATTTAAAGCGAAATGGGAACTTTCGTTTAAATTTCTCTCTTTTCTCCATCTGTTTAAAGAAGGTATGAAATCGTAAAAAATTAAATCGTAAAAATGTTACGTTTTAGTACCAATCAAAAGTCAGCTTTAATTTATCTTAGCTTTGTACTAAAAGTCTATGAATATTGAGAGCACCTACCTTGAGTACATGTGAGGCTTTCAACATTTAGACTGCAAAATAATTCTGTATAAGTTTTCTAAAAATTGTTATGCAAGGCCTTAAATGCGTCAGTTTATAAAGAGAAATAAGATTTTGCTATTGTATCGAGGACTTTGACGAAGGAGGAATGCAAGATCAATCAACATAAATAACGATTAAAAAAAAAAAACTTTTTCCAGTACCTTTATAATTTTCAAAATTGTAAGAATGACATGATTAACAAACGTTAACTTCTGTTTTCAATTATTTAAAAAAATGGAATTTTTGAATAAATGTTCCTTCAAAATAAAATAACATCAGATTTTTTAATACCGATACCAGAGAGCGTCATCGTGTCCAGCTCTCAAACTGGAAACCTTTCATGTGCAGGGTTGTGTTTTACCAACCGTGCTATCCGGGATTTGATCTTACAGATGAATTCATACAATATAAATATTACCAAGGCACTCTCGTAAATAATAAAAAAGGCGGCAACTGTAGCATAATTTATGGAATAAAATACATTCTTCGTCAAATGAAAGAAAAAGGTGTTGCATACAGAAGGAAAGATTGGTTTGACAATTTATTTGAAAAGAAGTGAGTAGTCGTTAATAACAATTCATAATCGAAACATAAGAGTGGTATAGCAAATATTTATTGCAAAACTTACAGAGCCTTTATAACTCTCAACAGGATGCCGAGCCGCCAATGCATGCTGCCATACTTCTTGGGTGAAACTGTAGGGGTCCTTTAACATTAGCCTATCCTTCGCAGACAGTTGTTCCTGCCGATTTTATGACAACAAAGCAGTCTTGACAAATAGACCAGATATCTTCTGTTAGGTATAGGCCTGCAATTGGGTTGACCACGGCTGAAAGTTTATTGCTACAAGTCAAGCTCTTGAAATGCCAACTGTACGAAGATTCGCGTTGCCCTTTTGGATTGGAACACTTGAGGGAGAGTTCAAATATTCCAAGGCAACTGCTCAAAGGACTTCATCATTATACCAATTAGGATGCCTACGTGCCCGTGATGAAGACCATTAATAATCGGACATCACATGAAATCTTATGCCATACCCAAAAATCTATAAAGAACTTATAATCTATAGCCTGGACATGACCCTTCGTTTTGAGATTTATATTGGTTCTTCGCCTCAAACCAAAAGTGAAACTCCTTATTAGAGATTGCTTGCTACCATTCAGCATATCTCGATTATGCTCTGGCATAGTGTCATTGAAGTCTATAACGCTAATGCTGCTATGTGAGGGGCAACCGTTACAATGCCGTGCATTCTTGTAATCCATTGACATGCAGTCTTCTGCTAGTGGTACTGGTATTTACCGGATGATACAGAGAGGGCATTACTGCTTACTGGAATGTCCGCAATAATGGTAAATGAGATGGCTGGGACAAGTCGGACCTTTACGTCTTCTCTCATTGTTATCAGTGGATGTCTACTATAGTCTGCATGCCACGCGTGCATGCTCTCTGGAATCCAATGCTATCAATAGTGTACATCAGTATCACTCTGGCAATCCACATGCAAAATGACCATCCACCTTTATGAAGTCTTTCGATGCTACATTTCTTGAGGGCCTTCAAATTGCTGTCAGCTTCATCTGAAAGACATAGTGCAGTTTAAACTATGATTATGATTCAACAGTATGAGTTTAAAGTAAAAATTACGTACGTTGGGTGTTTTTTTATAGCGTAGTATTTGCAGTGACAGGACATTTCCTTAATAACGTCTTTTGCGATGTGATTATGAAGAAATGTGATTATGGAGGAGGGAAAATGACATATGCCTGCAAATGAACAACAGACAAAAATAAAAAAATAATGCCGCTTTCAAGTAGGATGTTTTTCGTCATCGTCATTTACACTTTCGCACTTGAGGAAAAGGTTTTCTTTAACCTTCGAAAGTGTAACTCGGCTGTAAATTAATAAAATTAAACTGAAAATTTACTCAGGTTACATCGATTACATTTGCTTGTTGCTTCAGTTTAGTTTTTCGGAGAATTCTTTTTATATTTAGTGCACAGGCCGTTTTCCATTTATTCTTAATTTCCATTTCAAAGATATAGCATTCATCATGCAGTAAAGTTTCGTACATTGGCTGGGTTGTTCATTGAGAGAATTCTTTTGATTGTTTCAAATTCTATAATGCATTATCGATAACTTTCTCAATTAATCGTAAAGGCAGGATTTGAATTATTTTTACTTTTAGTGCTCATGCAGTTCCCTATTTATTCTTAAATTCCATTTTAAATATAGGACCTTCATCATGCAGAAAATTTTTGTTTGTTGCTGGGTTGCTTATTGTGAAGTCTTCTCATTCTTCTAAATTCTGTAAAGCACTGTCAGTAACTTTCTCAATTAATCGTAAGGCAGGACTTTAAACTCTTTCGCATCGAAGTCGCCCGTAACGCCCGTTCATTCAGGCAACGGCAAACCGCCCCAAAGTCTCGTTTATTTTCTACCTAGTTCTTTCCCCTCCACGTTAGTGTATGGCTCATTGGTTTCGTGAGTTGTTAAAAGACATGTCACTCATTCTTTTGAAGCAAATAAAGGAGAAATACGGAAAGCTATTGACGTTCTCAGGTGCAGTCCGGCCCTAAGGTGAAACTGCACACAATGTATGAAACCGCAGGGGGAAAGGAAAAACTATTTCAAGACAAATTCGTAAACACGGGCGTTTTCGATGTTTGTTGAAAATAGATTTGGTCGTCTCTCGATGCGAAAGAGCTAATTCAAACCTCTGTGAGATTCAGATATAAGAATTAATCTGATTCAAATTACTGAGTAAACCACTGAGTAGTGATGAAATCAAGAACAAGAGACGCACACCTATTTTCTTCATTGACTCTTCATAAACGGCAAGTGGCTCAAAAGTCCCCTCTGATTATCTTTAATCGGAATCAGCATGACTTCTTCGTTCCAGCTGTTGAAGTGCTGCTGCAGTGTCGACAGAGGAAGGGAAATACACTAAGATGGTGATAGTCTGAAAATAGAGCCCTTCCAGCTGCACAGTAATTGTGCGGGTTTGTGAGTGGGCAGCTGTGTAACTGCTGCTTGATTGCCTGTGGATAGATAAGTTTTAATGCTGCTGTTGTTTGTGGAGTGATACTCTGGCACATGGAGGTAGGAAGTAAGTAGGTAGGAAGTAGGTAGGAGGTAGGAAGTAAGGAGGTAGGAGTCGCCCTAAACAAGTTTCTCCGTACCCTGCTCTGAAGCACTGGCGATCCCTACGTGGTGACCAAAACATTGGGTCATTTACCATTGAGTTCTATGGGATTTGACGCATTCGGGTGTAAATATTTTGTAATTACGTCGCAAATATACATATAAATGTATATATTTTCTTTTTCTACAACACTTCAGAGTCCTAAGTATGTGAAAACAACATATTTTTAAACAACATTTCATTCTGAACGGAATTAAATGCTATACTTTTCACAGGATAGTTTTCTCAAAATGGTTTAATTTGAATGAAATATTTTCACAAGTTTTCGTTAATTACATTAGAAAAAAAAATTAAAGTAATTCGATTTTATTCGGTTAAGGTACAAAAATTAAGATCAAAGTTTATTGTATTATTAATATTAAAATTATGCATTATTTCTTTTCTATTTATAGAGCTTCTTCCTAAAATACTTTCTTAAATATGACATGATTTTTTGGCTTCTTTTAAATCGAAAAATGTAAGTCAATTTATAATTAATGCTCTATTCGGTTCATTTTAAATTAGAGAATTATTAGGAATTAGCGAAATACTTTAAATAAGTATTTCGCTAATTCCTAATAATTAAATAGGTATTAATATTATTTGACTTTCTCTGAACATTTCTGAAAGGGAATAAAATAAGTTTCTTTTTTTTTTTTTTTTTAAAGTATTATTTAAAACTTGTAACTGAGTTATTATAAAAAGTAAAGGGAATAATTCTTTTAATTATACTTATCAGATTTTTTTTTTACCCTTCATTTCAACAATACATATTCCAAAACTCTTTATTACGTTTCTTAAGTGCGCATCTCATAGCATTTGCTTTACAATACCTTTTAAACAGATTGCTTTCCACTACAACAATTCTTGCTTAAATAGTTTTTTAACGTATTTGTCAACAGGATTTCAATTTATGTTTACAATTCAATATTAAGGTTATATATATTTAGATAACATTTATAAACATTATAAATTAGATACATTTAATCATTAGATTTCTGTCACAGTACTTCACAGTTGTTTATAAGTGAATAAATTCTTCATTTCAAATACATTTATAATAATTTAATGAATATTTAAGTATTTTGTCAAAGGCAGATACATGCTTTTTGCAAGCACATGCATAAATACCCATACATATTTCCTATTTATCATTTCCGGCATGTGCAAATCTTTAATTTCTGTGCATTCAGTATATTTTTTCGTGTAAAGTAATTTACACTAATTTAGCATACACCCGAAAGTTTTACATAAAAAATATATATGAATATAATTTGAATGAAAATTATAAATATTATTTTTTATACCCACTGAAAGGTCAGTTTTTCTTCAAAATTCCTCCACGATGGCATCTCTCTCTTTAGGCAGATAGCCCTTGCATACGTTACTCTATTTAATAAAAACTTAATCTGACCTATGTGCCTAATTACAAATATTTTAAAATACATAATTTTATATTTACATTTAGCCATCAAGTTTCAAATTTTTCAAATCTTCTAGAAAATAAATTTTGGCAGATCTCTTTTAGCAATTTTCTTAAAATCTATATTTTTGTAGTGCAACAGCTTAGAATTTTATAAAACAAATTCATAATCAAAATCGCTGTTGTTAGTTATCGGAAAATAACTAAGATCTGATTTTTGCGTAAATGTCAGTAAACTATACAAATTGCTATTATCCATCACACTATGAATGTTTCTGTCATGCGAGAGTGTCCCTTTTTCGATTTCTATGGAACTGTCGTGTGTCGAAATACTATCAGAATCTTGTCAAGCGAGCTTCTGAATGTAAACAAAGAACACCCCGTCTGGTGACCCAAGCTTCAAAGCAGTGCTTCACTTCTAGCGCGGAATGGCCCCTCCTCCCTTTCCTACCTCCATGCTCTGGCAGAAGGGCTACAACTACGTCATTGCCTAGACTAACGTGATGCATGATCAGCTGCAGCTCGGCAGCCCTGTGTGGTGTCGAAGCTAATCCATCCAATTTTAGTATGGGATGAGCAATTGACGCAGTGGAGTGTTTGCTTTGCAGTTATCCTTGCTATGAGCCTGTCCACAGTTTACGAAGGTACAGGCCAACACTGCTTTACAGAAATATCCTAAGTGTGCCATTCGCCTGTAAGGATTATGTTAATTTTATTAACAGTTAAATTTTAAGTTCCTTTCCTCTCAATTTCTTAACTTCAATTTACTACTTCCGGCCAGAACGTAGTTTTGGAATTTTTCTGAATACCTAATGAGGAGGAGCGGTATTTTAACCACGAAGTTACTTACAGAGTGAGAGAGAATCAGAGTTTCTGATTTACGCACGTCTGCCTTTTTGGCCACTCTCTCTCTCAAAGCTGTTATTACGCTCGGCCGCACTCAGGCCCTTGCTAAGCTTCGTAGTCAAATAAGTTAAGGGGCCAACTCGATTTGAACCTTGATAGCTTAGGCTATATTTCTTTAGTTTTAGTTTAATTCTTAGTCTCTTAAGGGGACTCATACACCTTAAGACCCGTAAGATGTTCGAATAGGTCACTGTTACAAGAATTGAGATAACTTATTTATTTTAAAAGCAATTACTACCAACTTTTTACAGCTGACTACATAATATAGCTGCCTTCTGAAATAGTAATAAGAAAGTTTGTGTTGCCACAAATATTTTTATAATTTAATCCACTTTGTGACAACATTTTTCGTCATGTTTCCAACTTGCGCGCACAGTTTAAGACATTCTGTTTCATAATTTAATTCCATGTTTAATATATAGCTTTTATAACATGTGGAAACTACTTTGAACCTAAAATTCTAAAAATTTCATGTTAAATTTCTATTTTATTTTGAGTTGAGTTTATAAAATGTATTTTATTAACAAATTTGTAATGTTTTGTCCATAAAATTTTTCAATATTAAATATCATCATAGATTGTTGGTTCAGTTAGAAAATAGTGCCCATATAAAGAATTCCATCTAATTTCAAGTATGTACCATTAGCTATTTTTAAAATATCATGCGCGCAAGGTGGAAACATGCGAAATATTTTGTCACAAAGAGGATTAAATTACAAAAATATTTGTGGCAACACAAACTTTCTGGTTACTAGTTTTCAAAGCAGCTATATTATGTAGTCAGCTGTAAAAAGTTGGAAGTAATTGCTTTTAAAATGAATAAAATATCTCAATTTTTGCAACAGTCACATATTCGAAGATCATGAAAGGTTTAAGGTGTATGAGTCCCCTTAAGTTCAAGTCCAAGTGTCGGCTTTGATTGTACACTCCAAGACAGAGTTTTGTTAAATCGTATTGGAATAATAAAGGGTTACTTACCCTTGCATCTTGTTGGTTCTTGTCACACGAACTAAGCGATTATTCGCTAACTAGTTTTTAAGATACGTCTTTTTCTACAGTAACTGAGAATTACCCAAGTGAAAATCTTACACGCCGTCAGTTAAAACATTACTTGGAAATATTTTCTGAGAGCACAGAGCTAAATTCTATGAGAATGTTTCTGTGGTCCTTAGTATCCTCGTACATATTCTTCTGTAGGTCGACAATCCAGTTCAGATCATTATTAATAGTAATTCTAGAACGTACTGGTTCCTCGTTCACTGAAAGTACTAAACCAACCTGCAAAAGCTTTACGTATGTCATCTCCTGTAGCTTACGTGGGCGGTTACAAATACCATTACTAAGGACTTCTGAAATGAGGGCTATTTGAATCTGAGTGTGACTGCTAAGATGCAGAGAAAGAGCTTTTCCTCAGTTGCTTTGCTGAGTATTTCTGTATTTTTTCTTGTTTGAACTCAAGTCTCATGAATTGTAGAGATCTTCGCGCATTTTGCGAATTAATACTAGGCTTTTAAGTAAAAATATCATTTATTTTTTGGAAAACAGCTATTTCATATATTGAATATATTTCAGTAAAATGGTAATTTGAGGGCTATAAAGGGCTACCATCTTAAAAGTTTGCTGGCCAAGAATTTGCACGTTTTTACTTCCTTGTACGAAGTAAAAAGGAAGTATTGTATTCGCGAAAAGCTTCAGGCACCATATTCAACGAAAATAGCCACTTTGACTGCTTTCGAATGCAATTTAACGATGTTTTTGCGTGATATCTGTACGTAAGGACAGAATAAAAGACTCTTTTCCTCCAAAAAAAACTAAAAAAAACTGCTTTAAAAATGAATTCTGAAGAGAAATTTTTCGTGGCGCTGTACGAACGTTGTACGTACGTGCGTGTGTACGTACGTATCTCGCATAACTCAAAAACGAGTAGCCTCAGAAAGTTTGAAATGTGTATAAGAGACTACTATAACATGTAGATGGGCACCTCGTATTTTGGTTGCAATCGGCCGCACCAATCGTATATAAATATATTTATATCTCTGTTACCGGCTCAGTGATTTCAGTTTCTTCACTCTTATATGTTTGTAATTGTACATTTTTTGCTTTAAAAATGATAGATTATGTTGTTTTTATCTTAAGGGTTTTTATGCCTTTAGTAAATCTGTATGCAATATTTTAGAATTATCACAATTTTAAAATTGTTTAAAGTGCCGCTAAGCCTAATTTGATGGCGGCCATTGATGTCTACATTTGAAACAGGAGACTAGTGGATTTGGTTTGCCAATCTAGAAAAACTTGGCTTCGCAACAACAAAGATAACGCATTCATTTATTATGCCAATTAAATCATGCTTAATCCTTTCTTGAATTTTTTCGAGAAATAAGCGTTTAAGATTTACTTCGTAATTTTTAATACACATATTTTGAGTTTTGATGTATTTTTTGCCTTGTCGCGATGTGAGAACTGAATTAATTGAATGAGAAAACTCAATCGTCTGTGAAAAACTGTGTCATTTTGTTTTGTTTTGCTTCATTTCTTTTATATAGTTCTAGCTTTATTATAGTATTTGAATAGAACATGTGGCAACGATTCGATAATTCTTTAAATGATATAAATTTTGTGGCATTCTGAGTTATAATATGAACGAAATATAATACTGTTAAGTAAACCTAGCGCCAGAGTGTCGCTATGGTAAACAAAGTGAATTTTAAAGAATGCATTTATTCTATTGTGGTTTATGCGCTGTCGGCGAAGTAGGTTTAATTCAATCCAATAAGTTTAAATAAAATGCAAGAAAAAATTCGTAGAATTTAATATTCCGTACAAGGAAGTCATGTGGTGTACACATCAGATTTTTTATATGATAAAGAGAGATGGAAAAGGGAAATAATATCTTAAATAAACAGGTTTGTATTATTTCATTTCGAAAAATAAAAATGATACCATGTTAATTACCTGGTTAACAAATCTAATAATAAGGGACTAATTAAGGGCTGTATAAAAGGTTGGATTTCTTTCGAAAATAAAAATGATACCATGTTAATTACCTGGTTAACAAATACTTTTGTATAAAAGGTTGGATTTCTGTTGTTTCTGCTGTACAAGTGGGCTCTGTGAATATCAGCAGTTGACTATGGAATATTTAATAAATGAGGTTGTGTGAGCTTAAAAGGCTATTTCATAGCAGACTCACTAAAAAGTGAGTCTGCCATGAAATAGGTATCAGCAGAAAATTACGACTGACTTCAAGTCAGCTTTAAGGATAGTAATAACTGTTTCGACAGCGATAAACATGCAAACAAATTTTGATTTTAAATAAAATTACTTTAGAATGAAAAAGTTACTGACTAACAGAAATGTTTTATTAGTTAACTGCGAATTAATGCACAATAAAATTATAATGCACAATAAAACGCATTATTTTTTAAATAAAATGACAACAAAGTATCGGTTATCATAAATAACTTATCCAGCAATGGGTTTACCATAAGTTGTATTACTCGCCAAAGGAAAATCACCAAAAAATCGCCAAAATCCGTGCAACCGTCTACCAAAATAGCACCGAAGGTTTTGAATGTAATATAAATAAAAATCAAAAAATCATTTAACATATTTTTAAATTATGTAAGTGAGTCAGTAATTTATCGCTTTTTGGAGGAAGGTTTGGTAGGTTTGTAAGGATCTTAAGTTTTACTAACGTTTATTTTATTTTAAATCTTTACTATCACTTCTTATTTTTCTACTTCCGGCCAGAATTAAAAGCTTTAACTTATTTATGCAAATTTGTCTTGCGAACGCCAAGTACTTAAGTTGTGGCTTTTTGCCAAGCAAGAGAGAGGAAGGAGTGATTAGGAGCAGACCGCTTGCCATAGCAGTTTTACTCGGTTGCTGGTTGCCTTCAAGGCCAGAGGTTTAATCCTCTTGATAATTTTAAATGTATCGTAGTGTTAACAGTTCTCTGTACTACATACGGCCTTTCTGTTAATATACGGCCAATCTTCAAGTAGGCACTTGTTTATTAATCCAAAGTTAGTTTAGTTAGAGTTTAGTTAATATTTTTATATTCTTACGTTCAGACCACAAGTGGTTGGTCTCTGTATTCCGAAGTCCGGAAATCATTGTAAAGAGAGAAAAATAAAGGGTTTCGTATACCCTTCCTGTGTATCTTGTCTACTTCCCACATTTATTGAACATAGCTTTAGAAAGCTCGCTGTTCCGAGTCAAGTCATTTAATGTTCCCAAAGCAAGTAAGGAGGAACACTGAACCTGATAGGTTAACTGATTACATTTTGGTAAGTATATCAGGACTGGTATTCCTCTTTACTTGCTTTGGAAACATTAACTGTCCTGACTCGGAACAGGGAGCTTACTCAAGCTATGTTCGATAAATTGTGAAGTAGACAATACACACAGGAAGGGTATACGAAACCCTTTATTTTTCTATCTTTACAGAGCTTTCCGGAACTTCAGAATACAGAGAGTAACCACTTGTGGTCTGAACGTAAGAATATAAAAATACTAACTAAAACTCTAACTAAACTAACTTTGGATTAATATACAAGTGCCTACTTTAAGATTGGCCGTAAATTAACAAAAAAGCCGTATGTAGTACAGCGAGCTGCTAAAACTACGATACGTTTAAAATTATCAAGAGGATTAAACCTCTGTCCTTGAAGGCAACCATCAACCGAGTAAAACTACTATGGTAAGCGGCCTGCTTCTAATAACTCCTTCCTCTCTCTTGCCTGGCAAAATGCCACAACTTAAGTACTTGGCGTTAGCAAGACAAATTTGCGTAAATAAGTTAAAAGCTTTTAATTCTGGCCGGAAGTATAAAATAAGAAGTGATAGTAAAGATTTAAAATAAAATAAACGTTAGTAAAACTTAGGATCCTTACAAGTAATGTCATAAAATAAAATTTTATGTTTATTTGATGGGTAGAGTTTTATAAAGAAGCATTTAAATATTGAAAAAATGAAAAGAATCTCGTAGTAAATCGTATAACTCGATACAGAAAATGTTTTTCTTCTTCTAAATATCCCTTCATCATAATCAAATTGAGATGTTTCTTTGAAATTTCACGATTCTTTCCATTTGTCTTTTCAGGCTTCTAGTTTCTTGTGCGACTTTTCAGATCATTGCTTCATCTTTTAAAAATTCATTTTTTATCAATTTTTTTTTAAAGTTACATACAGGGTGGCCCAGAAGTCACTTTACATTTTGAAAATTAAATAACTTTTTTCTATTAATATATTTCTTTTTCTCTTTTCAGAATTAAAAAATATAATCCCTGGAAATTTTTGGCATGGATAAGTTTACAACAGAACAACGAGTGAAGATAATTGAATTTTACTTTGAAAAATGGACGGTCAATTGTTGCAACGCAATATATGCGCCATTTTAATGTTCGACATCCCCCTAGTAGGCCTGCAATAAGGAACTTAGTGACGCGTTTTCAAGGTTCAATTAGTGCAATCTTTAAAACCAGCAGACTTTCAGAAACGAGTAAATTATGCTGTCAGGTTTCAGAGAACTGCAAGAAATGACAATGAGTTTATTCACAAGTTGATCATGGGAGATGAAGCTCATTTCCATTTGAATGGACATGTGAATAAGCAAAAAATAAAAAAGAATTAATTAAATACAGTCATTTAAGAAAAAGTTATTTAATTTTCAAAATGTAAAGTGACTTCTGGGCCACCCTATACAAATATTACAGCTTCGATTACTTCAATTTAGCTAGACATACATTCATCTAAATTTACAGATGGCCGCTCAGCGGAGATAATGGTTAGCGCCGTTGACTGCCTTACCGAAAGGCCCGGGTTCGAATCCCGGAAAAGGCATGGATGCTTGTAAATGAATAGTGTCTGTGCTGCATGGGGTGCTAAATATGCAGTGAGCCGAAAGTCCACTGGTGAGGTTGCTGGTAGAGAAGGAGGGGGTGGGAAACCTTCACACCCGTCCCACGGGGAACTCTCCTTCAAAATTAGGGGTGTAACTGAGAAAAGTCGTTTTGCTAACTGTATGGTGCTCAAGGCTTTTAAAAACGACAGGCGTAATGTGTAGATAGGTCATTTCGAAGGACGAGACATAAAAAATGGGAATGTCCTTGCCGGGACGCATGTTTCACAAGTGCACATCTGTGTAGCCACCGAGGGAGTGGCTTCTAGGATGGACCAATGGGAATCCAGTAATATTTCTGTCATGTCACATGACCTTTCGCGTGCTTTAAGATTTAAGCAAGATGGTTGAAAATATTCTACTACGCAATTTTCTTTACAAAATAATTAAAGCATCGTCGAGTTCTTCTGAAAATTTGAATTGCAAAGTTAGATCAAATATGAGCAATCGGGGAGTTTTCACTACCTGGTTGAAAGAATTTGAAATAAATACAAACACATGTTGGATACTCCGCAAAAATATCCATGTTAAATCTTAATTAAGTGATAAATAAGATGAAGAAAGAAATATGTGAGAAAAATATTTACACCAATTATATATGTAAATAGAAGTCAGCACCTTTTTTTGCAATAAAAATGAAAAATATGTCCTATAGCCAACGCAGAATTTTATTCAAAGTGAACTTAACTAATTTGCATTCGTATACATTTTGTGTGTTGAATTTCACATTTAATAACTGCTCACTCTTAAATGTACTGTCTACACAAGAAATACTCATCAAACAGAATAAATTTATCTTATTCACAATGAATATATTCAATTTATTCACATATAATTTTTAATGTTAACAATGGATATAATTAGATCATGCACAATATGTATTTTGAATCTTACACTTTAAACATCAAAAGAATGCACTGATAAGGAAATAAATATTTCAATAAGGAAATACTAGATTCATTATAATACTTCCAGTCTTCTCAGCTTAATTAAAAATAAAACTAAACACTTGAATTCTCTTAATCCACAGGGTTTAGTAAATGCATAATATTCGAGGCTAACTGTAGCTTGAGTCATTTTCTCGATGTAAAAAAGCGATAATACGCCATTAACATCAATCCAAATATTAATGCGTGATAAAAATCGCGAAAGTGAAATATCAGGCATTAATTAAACTCATATAACGAAAGCACTGCGAGATTTTGTACTATTATTACAAATGCAAATTAAAACATAAACAACGTACGCTTACATGCACGAAGATTTAGCGTCACAAGAGCAATAGAAGCTCTTGGTCCATTTTCGAAGTCTCTCCCCAGTGGCTACGCTAATGTGCACTTGTGAAATATGCTGCCTGGACTCGAACCTCGGACTTCGGACCTCTCGAACACGCGCCGAGCGTGCTGTCCATTGCACCACGAAGGCATGCTAAGAAGGCGGGAGAAATATACTTACATGCTTTTTAAAAGTCGAAAATTCAAAAATTAATGGCTGATACATCAGGAGATTTAGTAAGGATATGAGGGGTACAGCCTTGATACCCGGTTCTTGCTTTTTTTTTTCCCGAGGAAATTAACAGTGGATTTTGACTTAAGGCAGCTTAGCTTGCTTTGTTTTGATGCACTTGTGCTGGGCACTATGGGTAAAGAGAAGGTATTTCACATTTGAAAGTAGGGTACAAAATATGTTCCTAATAATATTGTTGCTTTTTTCTTTTCTGACACCAGTTGTTACGTTATTTTCGTTCTTCACGTTTGTACGGGGTTTGTGTGGGTTTTGAGTGAATAACTACAGCACTTGATGGAGTATGGAAATACACTTTATTTAAACAATATTAATCAGGACAGCTCCAAAGCCACTTTTTACAGTCGTCTAAGATCTACTATGAACACGCTGACACAATCAGCGACACAGCCTCTAGGTTATCAGGCTATCACGATGGAAACAGCTTCACTGCAAAGCGCAAGAGTACAGCTCCCGACTCTGCTCGGTCGTTCTCGGAACTCCACGTACTCTCGAGACTCTCCACGCTGCAACTCGCGATGCACTCGACGACACACAGAGCAGAGCTCCTGACTCTTCGGTTCAGTCGTTCCCGGAGTTCAACGCTCTCTCGACGATGCATTAACCGCGATACACTAAGAGACTCCTTCGGTGCACTCGACGACCCACTCGCTGGCCGGCTGTCAACTCGATCGTCAAGGACTAACTAGATGAGACATACTCTCTCGACGCGGACCAGCAGGGTTTATATAGCTTTCAGCTTGTGTTCGAGAACATTCTGGGCTAAACCGGTAAGAATTCGTTCCAGAAGGTTCTCCATCCGTCCATGGAATATCGCCTATTCTCGTCAAATGGGCGATTTCTCGCCAAATGTGGCAACCCTGCCTTCCTTGGTAGTTTATGGCAACGCTAAAACTGCTTTGCGGGAAAGCTATCTCACCGCGCCTGTACATTTCGTAACAATATGTAGAGTTGATCTTAATATTTTTCTTCACTCTCTTTATTTTGAATTTGCGGTTATATGAAAAACTAACAACAATCATAAATTCCTTTAAAAAACTTTCTTAAATTCTGTGAACTATGTTTACAGATTTTTTCCCCTCCTCTTTGATGATAATAAATGGATCTCGTTTTATTGGAGCCATTTAAATACACCCACGACTGATCTGTTGTGACATCCTTTTTACATTTTTGTCCGGATAAAAGTTTTTCAGAATTCTGTAGTGCGTTCCGCGTTCGGTAGCATGTCGTAAGGAAGGACGATGCTTTTTCGCCTTTTTAAGACTCAAATCGGCTGTTAATACTGAGCATTTTAATGATTTTGTAACTGTCTTTTGACGTGACGGATTTCATTTTAACATTAAAATACCTTAGCAACATTAGAAATATTCCGCTTTTCCTTGAATAGATAATTTGGAACAATTTTTCCACTTGAAGCCAAACTCTGACTTTCTTCCTTTCTTACTGACAATATTACCTATTAGCTTTAGCTGTTAAAGAACTATGGCTTTCACAGCGGTTTTCATAACAACTTCTAGATAGGAATAAGTTTCTTCGGAAAGTCGGAAAGAACAGAAGCATAGCCTTCCATTCATTGTTTCTTTAAAAGCGCCATTTTGCATGAGAACAAAACTTTCAGGTAGCAGCAATAATTTATACGTTCAAAAATATAGCTTCAATTAAAGTAATTTCCAAGCAGACGATGTTCGATTAATCTTCGGATTATGGTGACTTGGCGATTTTTTGGCGACAATTTGGCGACCAACCCTGCTATAGCAACCTGCTAATTTTTTTTTTGACGCCATTTTGTTTTCACGAAGTAAAGGCTTTTTTTTTTTTTTTTTTTTTTTTTTTTTTTTTTTTTTTTTTTTTTAAACTCAACATTTTTCCCAACAATCTGCAAGCCGAATTGCGCTTATGCTAGAACTTTAGTGGAAGAAAAGTGCTTAATCATGACGAAGATTAGGTGCGAAATTGGGAGAAAATGCAGAATCGCCCACTGCTTGCCGCGTTTTTAAGAATTGCACATACACGGTATCCATGTACACGTCGACCTATTTTCACTTAAAAAAACATCCCAGAATTCCACAAAAATGGCATTGCGCACACTCTTGACTGTATCCATGTACACTGCTAAAATCCTAACTAGTAACCTTTATCGCCTTATCGAAATGTCGCCAAACTACCTGTTACCATATTCCAAAGATTATCCCGATGTTCTTTTCACAACAACTTTTTATAGCAAGGGAAAATTTCTCTAAAACATGTGGGAATCGCCTCTGTATTTCTCAAATTCATACCTCTTAAAAGTTTCTTTATTGCCTACAGACTTGATTCTGAAAAGGAATGCTCATGCTTTACGCTGTTTGCATAAATGAAACATAATAATTAGAAAGGCAAATTCATAAATCTGGGTTAAAGTCTATTTAAATGACAATTTTTTTAAAACTGTTTCGATAAACTGACTGTATATTTTATCATGTTATGTCCTTAATTTTACCCTAACTTACTAACAACCAATGCTTCAAACATGCTACATATTTTTGAAATCAACAATATTCTCCCCATTTTTTTTAAACCCAAATAAAACTCAATCAGTTCTGTTTCTTTATGTTTTTATTAGAAATGTATCATAATGTTCGCTCTGACGGATCGATTCATTATTCTTATTTGTATTACCTTTAGAAGACGCTATAAAGAATCAAGTATATTTAGCAAGTTGTGACAATTTGCATTTTGTTGTATCACTTCGAACTGAGTCACAATGCAGTTCCCTCCAGAGGATTATGCAGATTTTAAGAAGAACGTAGGAATTTAAGCAGTTAACTGGAACCTGTAATCGGTCGATACTCTGCAGTTTAGAACCATCGTTTATTTGGTGGTAGGTTCAGGCTCGGCATGTACCGTACTGGTACTGTGTTGTCTTCCCCCTCGGTTGTGGGGACAGTTCAGGGTCAGATATCGAAGGTTGTCCTAGGCCCTAGGACCTAGGGGGTTGGGTTTCCTTGCTCAACTCTGGGGAACGGTTGATGTCTAGTTGTGACCATGTTCTATGTGAAATATTTGAGTCCTCTTGGGTTGACAGGAGTGGGGTGTAGTCTCCTCAGATGACCTCCAGGGGCTGGGACGATTTAAAGGTTGTCCTAGGCCCTAGGACCTCGGGGGATGGGCTTTCCTTGCTCAACACTGGGGAACGGTCGATGTCTAGCTGTGACCATGTTCTATGTGAAATATTTGAGTCCTCTTGGGCTGACAGGAGGGAGGTGTAGTCTCCTCAGATGACCTCCAGCGGCTGGGACGATTTAACCGCGTAAGGACTGCCTTGAGTATACCAGGTCTGGGAAATAATTCCTTCTGGTACAGTATATCTTATGTCGGATCCCGCCTGAGTTGTAATCTACCTGAAGAACGGCAGCCGCTTCTGGTCATAAGCGCAGCAGATGATAAGGATAGAATTACAGCAAAGCATTACCCATTCATTATTCACGCTGGAGTATGTGATGAAAGAACTGTGACCATGTTCTATGTGAAATATTTGAGTCCTCTTGGGCTGACAGGAGGGAGGTGTAGTCTCCTCAGATGACCTCCAGGGGCTGGGACGATTTAACCGCGTAAGGAGTGCCTTGAGTATACCCTGGGAAATAATTCCTTCTGGTACAGTATATCTTATGTCGGATCCCGCCTGAGTTGGAATCTACCTGAAGAACGGCAGACGCTTCTGGTCATAAGCGTAGGAGATGATAAGGATAGAATCACAGCAAAGCATTACCCATTGATTATTCACGCTGGAGTATGTGATGAAAGAAAGGTCCTGTCCAAATCAGTCAGCTAAATATTTTAAAAAGGCTAGATTGATAAAAAGTAGTGAACTGTAGTTCCTCGAATCTTTGAAATGTTAATTTTCAGCTTCTCAAATAGACTTTTATTTTTATATTTTGTTATTGATGTTCAAGAAGATAATCATTAAAGTTTTTATGTTATACTATTAAGTCTTGGTCTGCATGCAGATATCCCTTCCATCTCAATAACTTGGGAAAGGAAATTAAAAGTACTTTGTAATTTAGATTCCTTAGAGTTAGCTGTATTGGTCACATTAATAGAAACATCTAAGAGGGTGGCATCCGTCTAAATCAAAGAGAAAAAGGCCATAAACTTAGGTGCTTGTTGAAGAGAGTATCATGCCAAAAAGGCAATCAACAAGAAAACGATCTGCACGCTCAACGCGTAATTGAGAGATCCTTAGGTTGATTCCCAGCGAAGGCGTTTGCTCATTTTTCATCTTTTTTACTTCCAAAAAATACCTAATGTCTCTACAGAACATAAAGATGCAATGCAGAGTTCTGTTTAGAACAACACCTGGTTGCAGGGGTTCTTCAAAACATCAAATCCTTTACGTTAGTCATGACAATAAGAGAAGAACTAACACAGAATAATACTCTTTAAAAAGGATTTATTGACGTTACAGAACTAGATAGCAAGAGCACTGTTGTGAAATATAAATACAATTTATTGCATTTACAGAGTGGGCATTAATTAGAGATATCGGATAAAATCTCTTCACATGGGCTTTCTTCTTTATACCGGTATTTTCATAAAAACTTACGTATAATACTTAGAAATCAAATAAGGTATGACTAGTAAATAATAATAAATTAAGTAGAAATTGGAAGTTCGCGCATGTATTCTCCTACTGAAAATTGTTCGGCACGTATTGTAATATAACAGCAAATGTGAGATATACTTATTATTTAAATTTTAAATTCAAGATACGTTTATTGAATTTCAAACTGAGGGAAACTGAAGTTTATTCTACTTTCAAGAAAGGGAAGTTTGAAATGTTCTATCACTTCGAACCGAGTTACGAGGCCGTTCCCTCCAGAGGATTATGCAGATTTTAAGAAGAACGTAGGAATTTAAGCAGTTAACTGGAACCTGTAATCGGTCCATACCCTGCAGTTTAGAACCATTGTTTATTTGGTGGTAGGTTCAGGCTCGACGGGAGAGCGCACTGGTACTGTGTTGCCTTCCCCATTGGTTATGGGGACGTTACATGGTCAGATATCGAAGGTTGTCCTAGGACCTAGGGGGATGGGCTTTCCTTGTTCAACACTGGGGAACGGTCGATGTCTAACTGTGACCATGTTCTATGTGAAATATTTGAGTCGTCTTGGGTTGACAGGAGGTTGACAGAAAATCTGAACTGAAGGCACAAGATAATAAAATTTCTAAAAGAATTTTATTTCTTTGGCTCGTTGCTCACGAACCGCTTAGCAAAACACAGAGCATGTTTTACAAACATTTATCTTTAAAACGAATTCGTTATGACATCCATTACTCATGAAGAGACTGTAAGAAGTTAAAATTATAATGCACACGTTTTATAATTAAATATTGCTTAACTTTGCAGAGGTGCCACTGGAAGTTATGAATTTCTTAATGAAGAAATCTCCAAGGAGCCAAAGACAGCATTGCAAAGAAGGCAATAAAGGACATCAAAGAGGAAATTGCACTCGTTCCGTTGTAACAATAGCCTATAGGACCGCACCTCTGTGACCTTTTGCAGCAGTATCCTCCTGAACAGCACTTATATCCAGATTGGCAGCAACCGGGTGTACTTAAAGATTTGCAACACTCACTGCCAACGGGGCAACAGCCGGCTTGGGTTGAAGATTTGCAGCAGAAGTCACCCATCCCGCAGCAACCATAGTCCAACAAAGCGTAGCAACACGAAGCACCAGCATGGCAGCAGGCTTTTGCGTTATGTGGTGGACAGCAAGAAGTGTGACCCTCGCAACAACTGGTACTATCGCAGCATGTACCAGCACAATTATATGGAGAGCAAACACCATATGCATTCGAAACATCATCAGGTGAAGATTTATTGCCGACTGTCATTTCATGAATCTTTCCCTTACTCCCTTGCATAACAGGTACCGCACTCTCGCAACATTTGTAGCGATCGGAAGAAGCTGCGCAGCATTTTGTACCTGCAGAGAAAATAAAAATATTCGTTATATACATAGATAAGTGGCTGGATCACGAATGAACAAGTTAATAAACTGTTACCATCATTCATTATTTTAAAGAAGAAATTCTCCTTACACGTTATAAGTATCGAAATACTGAAGAATAAAAGTTTTAAATACTCTCTCTGCCTTTTATTTGTCATGCACTTACATTTACACTGGTGTGCAAAAATCAAGGACGAGACGGTTTTTTCAATATAACTTTGTACAAAAGCTTTCCAAATCAACACATTTAATACCGTAAGATCCCTAATACGTAAGGACATGAGTAATGTAAGCAACACTTACTAAAAGAGAAATCAGAGGGATAAAAAGAAGCTTTATTGAAAAAGTAGCATGGAGAGCAATGCGACTGAAGGCCGAAACATCCCTGGGATGGGTGTCCAGCAAGAAACACCCGGTCTTTAATAGGGGATACGATCTCCCCTGACTGCTAGGCAGTTTCACAGCGTCTGCCCATGCCGAGAATGAGGGTGTCAATGAGTTGTTGAGGCATTTTCTGCTGCCCATTCGTCTTTGCAGCGCCAATCGAAGCTCCGGAATCGTTACTGGTGGTAAGTACGAGCTGCCAAGCGTCTGCCTAGAAAATCCCCATACATGCTCGATGGGATTGAGATCCGAAGATCGTGCCGGCCAATCCATACGTTCAATACCTTCCTCTCTCTAAGAGCTGTTCGGCAGCTACTGTACGATGACATGGTGCAGCATTGTCGTCCATGAAAAGGAACTGAACCCAAGCGAACCCATAGCGCCTCTAAAAAGACGCAAATATGGAAGAAGAATCTCGTTACAACAATAACGGGTCCCGTTGACTGAACCTGCGTCGAAGATGTGAAGGTCTGTACGACTACCAGCATGATGCCTCCCCAAACGAGAACAACCAACCGCCACCCCTCCTTACCTGTCCCTTTCAATGATGTTCGAGGATGATTGCGGCTTCCTCCCCCCCTCTCCCAGATGAGTATGCGATGAGAACGCTACTCAGACTGAATCTGCTCTCATCTGTAAGAGTACTTCGTCCCCATTCATTGTCTCTCCAATTCCAATTCCGGTGTTCCCGGCACCAAACACAGAGAACGCCTTCTCCGATATGCAGGCGTTAGAGGTACACAACCGTACAGGGCGTCGTGCAAACAGACCACCACCGTGGCAGTCTTCTGGCTGGCCACGGTAAAAAACGCGATATCGGTCGTCCCAGTCACCTGTGTCGTGTGTCTAGCTCCCGCTTCCTGGTCTGCCGCCTGTTTCTTCTGGGCCTGTAAGGCATATACCGGTCACTGCGGGTGTGGTTTCCTCGTGGACGACCCACTACTAAAACCTCCGGATAGCTGTTCCTGTAGTTTGAAAATTGTCTTCAAAGTCGTGAAACGATGCTGTGAGCAATTCCGAACTCTGCAGCCACACTTGTCACACTGCGGCCTTCCTCCAACTTCCCAATGATTCGACCTCGGGAAAGCATCCAGATGTCGTCTAACATTGATTATTCGCCGTTTCTCGCTGAGGCAGCAACTCGGTGTGATTTTAACTGCTGTACGGCGTGCGCAACTCTCTTTGCCAGAATACTGATCTTACACACCGACAACATGCTCTATACTACTCAACACCCTCCCCCATTACGTCTACCTGCATATCTGCGCATGTGCTACCGTACATCACCTTACTTAATCTCCTGATTGGTCTTTCTGTCCGCTCTGCCTCTTCGTTCAGCTGATATGCTAATTTTTCGACTTCGTCCTTAATTTTTGCACACCGGTGTAGATTTAAACCTCAAAGGATAGTGTACTGAAATACGTATTGGATTAAACGAGTGGCTTTAAAGTTTCTTTTCTTTTTACCATCGACGGAACAGCCGGACTACTGGGTTAGGTGATTTTCAGCCTGTTGGATCCCGTCGATGAAATTAAAAATAAATACATGAATAAACATAAATAAAGAGCTTAGTACTGTGTCCTCCAAGGATTGGCCACGAAACGAGGAACATTGAAAACCCCTTCGCGCCGGGTAGCGCAGACGCGCGCAAAACCGGCAGTGTCTTACGCGAGCGTCTGTCCAGGGCCGGAGGCTTTTTTGCTATTAAGCCTAAATCCATGAAATTTCCGAAGTGTCAACGCATTGTTTAATAATGCTCTATAAGTATTTAAAACGGCTTAGGCTTATAGGTATTTATATATATCTATATACTTTAATTTTACCTTATTTCTCTTGTCTAATGCATATTTTTAACACACACATTTTTCATTTTCATACTCACCATTTTATGACGTTTAAACATTATACATCTGAAACTAATATATTTTACTTAAAAATTCTCTTTTTTTCGTATGAAAATTTGAAACCGGGATCTACACGCAGTCCTACGTTACATTCCTTGAACTCGTAATAACTCATTTGCCGTTTTGGAGGATTTTTTTCGGGATGTGAACAATCGAAGCATCGTCGTCTCATTTTCCTTATCAGTCTCTTCTGAACAAAGTTTTGTAAAATGTCTTTCAGTTAATCTTTCAAATCAATATCAGAATTTCAGAATCAATTATCTAAAATATTTTTTGCATCATTTCTGCTATTTCATGCTCCGTTAAACATTTCGCGACGCTTTCGACATTGCAACGGTAAAAACAGAAAAATTCACGTCTAACAAGATCTAACTATTTTCCTAAAAACTGAACTGCAAACCGAAATAACCCAACCGCTTTAGCGAAATAAAACTTCTCTACTTACAATAAACACTACCACGTGCGAATTTAAAGAGACGTCATAAATCACGCCATTCGGAAACATTTATTTCCCCTTTTGTTTATTAATAATTAAAACAGGTGTATGTGAGTCATTCTGCTCTCTCTCATTTCGAGTAGAAGGTCTAATGTACATGTATCTCAAACCATGGACATACAGTGCCATCTTGTGGCAGAAATTATAGTTTTTAAAACGTTCCAGGACACTGGCACAAATACGTGACAGTCGGGGCTGAACGGGAAAACGGTCTGGCACGCCTGCGTGTCGGCCGGAAAGTGAGTGTGTTCGTTGCTGGCACGTAGACGTGACAGTCGACGCGAAGGGGATAAGGACCAGAACGAAGGTGCATGGTGGCAACTGCTGAGACTAAGCGGAACTCTTCTAGACTGGGAAATAATGGTATAAATCAAATGTTCTAGGGTAAGCTCTGGTGACAAAATATTTCAGTGCTATTGCTTAACCGCACTCTCCCCGCGACACTAATCTCTAACACGTATGCGCTATTCGGACCGATTTACTGACTAAATAGAGTAGATGGAGAAGGCATCATGTAGTAGGAACTTTGTATTTTCGATGCGTTCAAAAAGCACAAATTTAAAGAGGCACGAAATTGCTTTTAAGGAACCTAAGATAATATGCTGATAATCAATTGTATTGTTTAATTATTATATGTTTAACTTTTAACATTTATATATTTACTTTTAACTAAGTACTTCCAAAGCTCAGTTTTGCTATATATACATAATGTTGCGATAAAGTGTAATAAGTAAGTACTATTGTATAATACCTGTTATTATTATTATTATTTAATTATTATATTTTACTGTATAATTTTCATTATTATGGATTCCCTTGAAAAAATTATTATAGCTGATTATAGTATTACGATCATAAATAACTATTATACAGTACAAAGTCCGTAATCCGGATTCGTTGGGACTTCGGCGATTCCGGATTAGGTTTTTTTCCGGATTATAGATCGTCATTTTAAATCTGGTAAGATGGCATTCAGAAGTTATACAATTCAAAATATGAAACCGTAATTTATGAAATAAAAACCAATTATGATCTAAAGGGTATCAAATTTTACACAAAAAAGCTTAATATTTGTTTACTTTATTAAACATTTCTTTCCACTCGCGCATGCGTAGAGCATACATTACGCATTTGCGTAATGCGCGTAATGTATTCGCGTGCATTCTTTACACGCATGCGTAAAGCATACAAAAAATTTTGTAGCCTTTGTGGTCCGGATTATAGATCATTCCGGATAATAGACGTCCGGATTACGAACCTTGTACTGTGTATCTTTTTTTATCTTTGTACTAAAGTTTATGTACATTAATATACACTAAAAGAAGAAATTTCTTAATAATTGCTTATTATAAAATGATAATAAATGATTATCATAGTTATTTAATTAATTATAGTAATTATATTATTATAAATAATTATTAATTTAAAAAATACTTTCTGCCACAATCTGTATGCATTATTATACATAACTGAAGTGGAGCAAAAAACCAAATTTGTTTTAGATAAAAGAACGAAAATAATTCTTGCGTGACAGATCACAATATTGGCAAATGTCAGTGTATCGTCTTACAAGAAGGGAAGAACTCACTCAAATGGGTTCGATATCTGTTGATCCTTTGTTTTAACCACAGAAAGGGTAATTACGACAAAATATATAATTCTGTTATATTTAGGACTCTTTTTTTCACAGTAAACCATGAAATATGCACTGTTAACGTGAAATTCATAAAAGAAATCAACATTTTTGGTTTCCTGCATTGCACGTAGACATGGCGAAATTATCTCCCTCGACAGTGAATTCCCTTTTTCCGAAGAAGAGCTGCGTCCAACGCGACTTTCTGCCCCTGCACGGCCTTTTTGGACTAAGCGTTTTGGCAGACTTCCAGTCTAGGTTGCGTTTGAGGCGGTCGGATTATATCGTGGTGGTTCGCCAATATACTTCGTTCTGGAAACGTATTTATAATCCAAAGCACTCATATATCAAGGCAAATTTTCCCATGAATAATAATGAAAACTCAGACGATTCATTCCACAATTATAAAGTTTCATCTAAAATAGGGGGTCTTCAACCCGTGGCCCGAGGGTCACCAGTGGCCCCAAATTTGAATTTGAAGAAGCATTGAAAAATTTTAAGAAATTTTGATTTCAAGAAAAATTGCCTTGTCAGCTTTTGTCGTAAAAAAAAAAAAAAA